TCTTCTGTCTATAAAGATATATAAATAATATTATTACAACAGATATAAAGACCTTGAAAATTATATATAGATATTTATATCAGTATTACCCTGGCTGCTGACTATATTAAAAATATTAAAATTTATATAGATACTACACATGCTGATTATAAGAATAGTAAATTTACTAAAAAATATATTATCTTCTATACAGATAATTTAATTATCTGGATATCTATTAAATAAAGTATTATTATATCTTTATCTATTATTATAGAATACTGTGTATTTAACTCCGCTGCTAAAGACACTTTATATATTAAGAAACTAGTACAGGTATTTAATCTTAAGATATCTAATAATAGTAAAATACTCTTATTCAGCGACACTGTTAATTTACTAAAAATACTGAACTATAATAGCTATATAAAGTTAACCAGATAGCTTGATAACTGCTACCTGTTTATAACAGATCTAATTAAAATAAATATTATATTTATTTAATATATTACTAGTATAGCCAATCCTGCTGACAGTCTTACTAAACTATTAGATCAGGAACTATTCTATATATTCAGATATCTTCTACAGATAATCTTTCTTTTTACTACCAGTACCACCGCCGCGCATCCTGAAAATAATGTTTGAGATACGAAAAATTGCCTATTTAGAAAAGAAATATAATTTTAATACCTTGTTCAACACTCCCTCACCTAGGGGGCCGTGTTGAAGCAGTAATACTAGTAGCCTCGGTCACATGACCCCTACATACTAAACAACCCCTACTTCTACCCTCGCTGTGCAACCCCTAGATAGGAACACACACATACAAATCTCTGCCCTTTCTTTGCTTCCTACGAGTAGACGTTCCAACAGTATATAACTAAAGAATGGGACTCATATTACTTCGTTATTCTTATGAATATGATTACAATTGCGCTAGTCTTATTATCAGAAATAATTGGTCTTATCAATTTCAGGACCACATGCCACGTGATGATGAGCAGCTAATGGCATCACGTGGCTTTATTGTGGATGCTGTTTCTTATCTGATCAATGACATTGATAAGGATCTTCGCGTGGAACTTCTGTTTTGGGCCAACATGACTTCATATTCCTGGGCATCAATTCTCATTACTTAATTCGTCTCCAGTTATTGAAATGGTTTTGCTATTATAGCAATTGTTTTTGGGATAGTATTTCACACTCTCGGACGAATAGACTGTTGTGTTTGGTTCAGTCAGACTACTAGTACTTAGTTAATCTGATCGAAATATATATCTAGGACTAGTGATAGGATTCTAAGGAGGATTGAAACGAACTTACCAACAGTCACAGTCACTCAAAGCTACTTGAAACACCATACTTTCTCACTAGAACTCCCGCTCGATACCCATCTGCTAATTATAGTCACACAATATCCAAAAAGGAGTGAATCGAGCGGTTATTGGCGGGCAGCGGCGCTCCCACCGGACCGGGTATCGGAGAGTCGGCGAGTCGGAGAAAAGGATCACGGGGCGGGGTAACCTTGATAAGTTGATAAGAACCGCGGTTCCTGACGGAGCTCTTTGCTCTTCTCCATCTGCCACCATTTCAACATGCCTTCCATCAAAGTCGCTGAATATCTCTTCCGTCGGCTCAAAGACCTGGGCGTAGCTTCCGTCCACGGTGTACCGGGTGATTTCAACCTCACTTTGCTCGACTATGTGGAGCCGGCCGGTTTGCGATGGGTCGGTAACGCGAACGAGCTAAACGCCGCCTACGCCGCCGACGGGTACGCCAGAATTAAAGGCATTGGCGCCGTTGTCACCACTTTCGGTGTCGGGGAGCTGTCTGCTGTCAATGCCATCGCAGGAGCCTACACTGAGCGGGCGCCTGTCGTGCACATTGTGGGAACACCAGCTCGGGACTTGCAGGAGGGACGCAAATTGGTTCACCATACTTTCAACGATGGCGAATATGGGCGCTTCGCTAAGATCTATGAACACTTGACTATCGCCCAGGCCAGCTTGCGGGATCCACGCACCGCTCCAGCACAAATTGATGAAGTACTACGACAGTGTCTCCTTCATAGCCGACCGGTCTATATCGAGGTGCCAATGGATATGGTGCACCAGTATGTGTCAGATGAAAGACTCGCGCTCGCCGTCAGCACGCCCGAGCCTGTTCCTTCCCAGACCCAAGATGATGTCGTGGCAAGAATTCTGGAACGCATCTATGCAGCAAAGCAACCGATTATTCTCGTCGATGGAGAAATCAGACCGATAGGCATTGTGGATGAGGTGCAGAAGATCATCAATGCTACAAACTTCCCGACGTGGACCACCAATTTCGGGAAAGGTTTGGTAGATGACACACGGCCAAACTTCCATGGAATCTACCGCGGCAACTACGACCCGACTGAAGTACAAGACTTCTACAATGGAGCAGACCTGGTGTTGTGTTTTGGGCCACACTTCAGCTCCACCAATTCCTACTTCTACCAGATCATCCCTAAGCCCGACGTTGCTATTCTGTTCACTGATAACGAAGTCAAATTTGGCACGGAGATCATACGGGACATTCCTGCCAAGCTCACCACATCCCGTATAATTCAGAATATCGACCTTAACCAAATCCATCGCTATGAACCTTATCCTAACCTTCCCCGTGATAAACTCGCCTCATTCTCCGAAGTGGAAGGAGACAAACCCATTTCTCAGGATAAGCTGTGGCGAGTGTTTGCGAACTTCCTTCGTCCAGGCGACATCTTACTGGGAGAGACAGGCACGGCAGGATATGGTGTCCGTGAGATGGCATTGCCCAAGCACACCCGCCTCTTCGCACCCGTGACTTGGCTGTCCATCGGATACATGCTACCAGGAGCTCAGGGTGCTGCACTCGCGCAGGAGGAGCTGATGGCATCAAACAAGTACCACGGCATCAAAGATGCACGCACAGTCCTTCTCATTGGCGATGGTAGTTTCCAGATGACCGCACAGGAACTGTCCACAATCATTCGACTGAAGCTGAATGTCGTGGTCTTCCTTATCAACAACGACGGATACACTATTGAGCGGTGCATCCACGGTCGGAAGCAGGGATACAACGACGTGTCGCGTTGGAGATATCTACAAGCCCCTAGCTTCTTCGGAGCTAGCGAAGATACTTTTACAGCATCAGTTGAAACTTGGAAAGAGCTACAGGATGTTCTTTCGAATGATGTTGTCAGCAATGGGAAGGAGCTTCGTATGGTTGAGATAATGCTAGATCGGGAGGATGCTCCTATCGGACCTTTGTCGATTCTTATCGATCAGCAAAGACAGACCGGTGCATAGGTAGAGTGATACACGAAGAGTAATACATGGACATAAATTTAAAACATGTTGGAAGTGACAACTGAAGAGGACTGTATCTAATCTCATTACTGCGTCAATACACATAAGCTTGCCCACCATGCTCTCACAATTCATTTCCAGAATCTTCACTCAACCTCATTAGATACCCTGTAACCCCAAGACTCCATACCCACCCTCATATCCCACACCCACCACATATCATACCATCCACCCTACCCAGGCAACTCCGCCACCTCCCAAGTAGCCGACAACTCGGCCACATTCCAATTCGTCGGCAGCTCCGATATCTCATTCCCAACGGCGACCAACTCGACCCACTCCTGCTCATGTCCCGGAGCCTCCACAATGCCACATCCTGCAGTCGGCAGCTCCGCCTTCCCAAACACACCCCAGGCAGTATTATCCTCGCCCTCCGACGATACTGGCTGATCAGCAGACCTCTTCCGTTTCCGCCAAAACATAACGCCAGCAATCAAAGCACCCGCCACAACAAGAAGTACGATGGGGGCCGCTATCCACGCCAATGGACTCTTGAAATGCTCCTCAGGATGTGGCCCCGTTCCTTCTGTGGCAGATGCAGTAGGATCTGCAACCGCCGTAGTCACACCAACCGATCTATCCAACTTCTCTAACCCAGCTGTAATCGGAATAGACATATACGCTAGGGCCGAGACCGTCCACGAATAGGTAGACGTATAAGGAAACGTGAAGGCATCAGAGGACTCCCAAGCATAATAGGTAGTTGTGCAAGAAGCGTTAAAGGAGGCTGTAATGTCGCATCGAACCACATACGTATGGATCGCATATTGAACTACCAGTGACGTGGTGGACTTCAAACGATGGGTTAAGGGAGTGACTGAGTCGACGCTCGTGAGAGTGAGTTCTGCAGTTGACGGGCCATTCGTTGCTGATACTGGCACTGTGATGAGACAGTTGCCGAGCTTGCTGCTTTGGCAGTTGAAGATGGCGGTGGTTTGGTTGGTTGTGGCGTTGACGTTGAGGATGCTGGCGCCTAGTTTGTCGAGGTGGGTGGTGTTGCTGGTGCGGAGGATGATGAAGTAGGTTGTTGTTGTTGCTGCTGTTGAAGATGATGACGACGATGACACCGTTGATAATAGTAAAGAAGGCCTAGTCATGGTCGTTGGTGGGATGTCTGTGGTAGAGTTCATTGTTGACATCAGTAGACGTGGTGCCTGTGTTGTCCGTGTTATCGCTAGGCTAGTCGGTAGTGAGGTCCAGGAAGAGTCCATGGTTGAGCTGGCCATGCATAGGGCTAGAAGGATGGCCACTAGGGCGAGATAGAACTTGTAATCACGCATCATGGTGGATTACGTTCTCTTCCAAGGAGTGGTGTTGCAAAGTGCGAACTGAAAATTCTAAGATACAACTTGAGATATGTAGAGAAGATCGAGGGATAGGCTTCACACGGTCCTTTTATAGTTTTAGAATTGATTTGGTTATTCACTTCAACTACATGCATCAGTACGCACAGCCGTTAATACGGGGCCATAACTCCAATTATACATGCACCAGGATGCGCAATTGTTAATACGGACCTGCCGTCACTTCTATGCACCTGGGATGTATGGATGATACGGTACCGTGTGAACCTGGAGAATCAATTCACACAAATGCTGTGATTATGTCTCTAGCAAGAACAAGGAGCTAGTCGCAGTAGGCAAGGAGGGATGCATGGAGTCATGGCAACCTGGAAGCCATAAAGCGTTCAAGCTTAGCCAGACAACCATCCCCAGTCGCAAGATAGGAGCAGGCAGGGACATCCTCAACATGTTGGTACAGCGCAGATAGCCTCCAGAACTGCCTCTCACAGTCTGGACACTCATAATGCCAGCCTCCATCTGTTTCAACGATATATTTCCTGCTCTGGTAACATTCCGTCGCTAGATCATCAATCGTGTCTTCAATGACCCCCGACTGACAGGCCCCTGATTCCAGATGAATTAGCATCCCGGAGAATGACTTGAAGCTATGATAGCAGCCATAGCATTCCACGCCCTTGGGTTGGTGCTTCTGCCGATGCTGGAAAGACAACTATCAGAAAGTTTCACACAACCACGATAGTGTTTGTCAGCTTACCATTCTTAAGTTGTTTTCATTGCCGAAATATCTGTCGCAGCTATCGCAATAATAGTGGACAGAGATATCATGGCTTAGGAGATTCTCAGCAGACCCGAGGAATATATTGCACTCAAGACAAGCATGATGATAATCCTCCAGATGGTTTCGAAGATCTTCACCGGTTTCAAAGTCTATTGGTTCGCGACAGGAACGACAAATATTATGTCTCTTGGATGCTCGGATGTGTGCATTCTTCGAGTCTTCTGAGACAAATACCCGACGACATCTCTCACACCATTCATGTCGCGTGGTCGCTCTGCAGTGGGCGAAGAGCGCACCTTCAGTCCTGAACCATCTGTCGCAGATAGTACAGATGTAGTCTTCTCCATCGTAGTCGAGGTATGGTCCCAAGTCACCCATTTGTTGATGTGTGATCGTTTGAATGCAGAATATAAGTCTGCAAAGTGATAGTGAGTAGTTTGTAGAGATACAACAGTTGGACCGAGAAGTGAAGAATTTAAACGTGTGGTGGATTCACGGCGGCTAATTCCGGACCCGTGAATCCTCAACACCTTCGAGACGCCGGATATATCCCCTTGATTGTGCCCCAATGCTATATATGGAACAATCCCCCCTCAGCCGGCGCTTAATTACTCTGTGGAGATATGTACGGCGGCTAAATCGCAGGGTGAGACTGTGCACTGACTGCTTCGAAGGATTCACAAAGGAGACTAGCCTTACATTGATATTGTGATGAGTTGGACAACGCTAGACCAAGCCTCACAATTACGGGTTTGGCGCTGTGATGGCCAAATTTGTGAATTAGTGGAAGTGACTATTATGTGCGGCTGTAATTTCACTTGCACTCGGGAAGGGACTCATATAAATGGAACACTGTTAAATTGGGGAATTCCATTCATCTCGGCCTCTGCCTACTATGAGCCACAATATGCTTCAGTCTGATTGCTATTCAGAAGTATGGTAAGCTTCTCGCCCAGAACCACTGCGAATGCAACAGCCTCGTTGATATGCATATACCAGCACCCCACTGAACTAGGCAGAATGTACAAAGGTCACATCAGGGTATGCTGCACAAGGGCCACTCAGTAGATCCGACGTGCGTCCAGAGGTAAAGTACTGCAACGCAGCAACCATGTATGAGACAACCACATTCTTAGCCCTCAAAGCGCCAATAGTTCCAAGATAAGTTTCCTGAGCAATTTCTTTCAGTTCGTCAGAGATGCTCAGAGACTCCACCAGTACCGGTAAGTCGGAAAAGGAATAGTGCTTAGACTGTGCGAGTCGTAGCTCCAATCTCCATCCTCGTAAATTTGACCAGAATGTGCCCCAGCTAGGATCTGTTTTCGCAGTGTGGTTTGCGTTACTGAACATTAGGAACGGGCTGGACAGTCCCTTTTTGAGGATGGATCCCCAGAATGAACCATCTAGATTGATGCCTCCGACGAATCGGTTGTCAACCAACATTGTCTGTGCGGCTGTGGCTCCGCCGAGGGAATGACCGGTGATCGATACTCGGTCGAGAGCGAGCAGATCTGGATTTTCCAGTGACAAGGGGAATATATCTCTGACGGCTGTCTCATTGCGAGTCTGGTTGTAAACAAAGATCATGTCTTGGACCCGAACGTTCATTGCCCAAGTGAATTGTGCATCTGTTGTAGTGTTTTCGAGGATACCAATCACCGTACCACCATCGGGAAATTCCACAATATCGGCATCATACGGATGATCGACGGAGATGACTGCAAATCCGTGACTGGAAATGTCTTGAAGGAGCGAGGTATACATCTATTTTGACACTCCCAGAGCGGGCGAGAAGAGCACAAGTGGGTAACTTTCGTTGTTACTGGAAGAGAGTAGCTGTTGCTGTGTCTGGATGCGAAGAGATTCGAACGTCCCTGCAGGTAGCCCAAAAGACTGGAAAGTCTCATCTTCATATGCTGCTGTTGCATTTGGGATGTATGATCCAGAGAGCACACTCCCGCAGTTGACGGGTGTGAATGTCGTGACCATGAGAGCTCGCTTACCCCCTTTTGGGTCGAATGGATTGGTTCGAGACCAGTCGACTAGTTCGCTGGCCTTGAGCGTGACGTCGCATGGTCCGGTGCTTGGAGGAAGAGGAACGGTTGCTGCTTGGCCGAGACCGAGAAGCAAAAGACTGGTGCATAGAATGGCAGAAATCATTGTGGCAGCTTTTGATGATGAAGATAGATATAAACAGATAGGCCTGGAGTGAAAATTCCATGATGAACAGCAGCCAAGGGCCTGTATTTATAGATGCCATGTTGCAGATGCCCGCTGATGATGGATTGACTTTACTTCCCATATCCGAACGCTTGGTTTGCCCCGTTGTGGAGCACTGAGTCCCGTGGTGGATGATTGGGGTGTGATGATTTTGCCCGATGGAGGTTTATTGACCTCATGGCAGCTTAGAGGGGACTTTTATTGGTCATAGCCTTGAGCTATATCATCATACATTTGCTCATTTGTAATGTACTGTAACTTCAGAGATGGATCATGTACTTGCTAACCACTTGGTAGTATATTTCTGACTATTATAATCTCAAAGAAACTGACTGAGGTTGAATGGGGCAGTATGAGACACCAGCTAGCTATGGCTTCGTAAGTAATGAAGGAAGACTAGCAATAATCATCTCGTTTGATTATAGTGGAACATCAATAGCATATGCGGCATTTTAGTGAATCAAAGCGGGACGCCTAACGAATGCCCGTGACAGATTCCTCCAGTGTACATTATCATTGGCACAGCAAGAGGGAGCAAATCCCTCACGGAGAGACAATATCCTTATCTCTAACTGGGTATTTGAGCCGCTTATGAATATGCCATCCCCTGACGATCCGGTAAACGCCATACAGGCAGCGTCCTAGGGCTCAACTCACTCTTTGGCAAAGACAAACAGCTAGTATATCATCGAAATCGCAACACTCGAACCTAACCTCATATATCTGCATGAAATACTCTCACCTTCATAACCCCCAACGAGAGTCGTTCTTCCATCTGCAAACTCAGTACCTGAGTGTATGCGCGAATTATTGTTCTAGAGATGAGATGGCTTGAAAGCCCGAGCCAAGCTGACCCGACTTATCCGAGCGCTACCCCAGATTGTAATAGCTTTGCGGTGGCCATTGAAATCTACCAACGTGGTCAGATAACACCAATTGTGCTCTAGCTTAGACGACATCTCGTCTCTAGCACCGTGCTTATTCTTTATGAGAGATTTATCTCCCTCGGTGGCTACTAAGGAGCCTCTCTTGTTGAAAAGTTGTGTTCGTCAGCTAATTCCGAGGTTGCCTGGGAAGGTATCATTAAAATCGGACGCTAAAGACACACTGACATACTGAGCCTGTGACAGGGCAGGCATAGAGAGACATGATGGCTATGGACCAATCTTATTTTCTTCCTGCTGGTCGCGGTAGGAATGCCGCTTCTTTGATAATATCCTCTGCAATTTACCGAAATATACAAGGACCTTGAGTCAATAGTGACGAATGTGAATGAGGAAGGTAGAAGCTAGCTATCTGTTTGTTCACGGCAATAGAAAGTAGCATACATCTGCTTATAAGTATGACGGCTTGATCTCATTCTCTGCTTATCGTTACATTTTGTCAACCCGTCTCACTGACCCTCCGCATACTTAGGCACCTCTTCTCCCTCACGCCAGAAATACTTTGCGCCCGGATGCGACTCAGGCAGTCTCGTCTGTCCCTTCTGCTCGGTCATATTCTCACGCATCGTGCCGCCCTTGACTGCATAATCCGTGTGGAAGATCCCGCGTGCCTGAAGCTCGGGCACGAGATACTGGATAATATCATCGAACGTCTCAGGAATGCTGGCATAACTCAGATTGAACCCATCGACATCAGCAACCTCCACCCACCTCTCCAACTCATCCGCGACTGTCTTGGGCCCGCCAATAATCTTGCATCCATTGCCGCCCATAATCAAATAATCCGCAATCGTCTTCTTATTCCACTTCTTTCCCTCCATCCCCGGCACCGTACTGGCCCAGTGATTAACCATACTCCGCACCGCCGGCTGCTCCACGAATCGGAAATCCTGTTCATCATCGTATGTCGACAGATCATACCCAGACCAGCCTCCAAACAGCGCCAACGCGCCCTCGCGATCGCCATACCTCGCATACTCCTCGAACTTGGCATGGGCGGCCTCATCCGTCTCCGCCACGACAACCAACACACCCGCGACAATCTTAATCCCAGCGGGATCGCGTCCCAGCGCCTTCGCCTGCTCCCGCACACTATCAACACTCGGCCTGACCAGCTCTGGCGTCTGCCCATTCAAAAAGATCGCCTCGGCATGCTTCGCCGCGAACGCCTTACCCGCCGACGACGTACCAGCCTGCAACAAGAACGGCGTCCTCTGCGGACTCGGCTCACACAGATGCGGTCCGGGGACATTGAAGTACTTCCCCTTGTGATGGATCTGTCTCACAGCCTTAGGGTCCGCATACCCCTTCACACCATCACGATCATCCCCCTTATACACAGCCCCATCGCGCCATGACCCTTCCCACAATTTATACGTTACATCGAGATACTCATCCGCAATGCGATACCGCTCATCATGCTCAATCTGGGTATTCAATCCGAAGTTCCTTGCCGCAGACTCCAAGTACGACGTCACGATGTTCCATCCCACCCGACCGTTGGATAAATGGTCAACAGTAGAGAAGCGTCTCGCCATCGCGTACGGCGCATCGTATGTCGTCGACGCAGTCACACCGAACGCAATCGTCTCAGTAGCAGCCGCCATAGCAGGGATACTGTACAGCGGATCATTGATAGGGAACTGCGCGCCCGCGGGAATAGTCGGGTCGAGGTTCGCGGGACCCTTGTAGACGTCGTAGCCGCCGAGGACGTCGGCGAAGAATATGGCGTGGAATTTGGCCGCCTCGAGCTTCTGTGCAACGCGGATCCAGCTCTGCAGGGAGGTGTACTTGTGGCCTTGGTCTTTGGGGTAGCGGTGCAGACCTGGGTTCAGGTGCGAGGGCGATTGCATGGCGAAGGCATTGAGGATGAGTTGTTTTTTCTCGGCGGAGCCCATGGTTGCAATACTTGATGAGTTAATCAGGATAGTCGATCTTGAGTGAGGGAATTGGAAAATATTGAGATAGTATTGTTTCAGTATTAACAGGCCACGGGGTGACTTTATAAGGAGTCGCACAGTGGGTATTTAGTATGTTTGAATTTTCCTGTGTCAGTATAGCCCGTGATAACAATGCCCCTCGGTTGTATTACTCGGACGAGAAGTATGCTCGTGGCTGTGATTTGCGGGCTGTATGCAAGGCCAGGTGGAAGACGTGCGATTGCCGCGTGATTGCGCCAGATGCGGTAGTGATGGTGCCAACTGTGGTAGTCTCAGAAGTGAGGGGAAGGAGGGGTAGAGGTGCTTGTGTAACTGCGGTTGTAGCTGTTAGTCAGTCTGAGATAAGGCATTTGTGTGATAATTACTTTGACTTGGGAGTCAGTTATGATCTTGTTAATCTCGGCGGTCACTTTCTGGGTGTAGAGAGGTTCGGGATAGTAGGTTTGGTTGTAGGGTTGGAGATGCTGTCCGGTACACACAGGAGATATTCCACAATCGTATTCATCCGTCTAAATCATTTTATTGCATATGTAGCATGATAGTACCCATTCTATGTACAATTGGATAAGAAATAAAAATTGTTGAAAAGAAAAGCCCTTTACTCCGCCATATCAACAACTATTCTCTTCCCCGACACACTTCCCTTGCGCAACACCTCCAACGACTCATTGATGCTCCCTAACCCGCCTTCATATCGAACGACCTCTGGCAATTGCAACGCTCCTGTCTCAAGTAGCCCCTCCAACCAAGAGACCATTTGCTCTCCCACGGTCGGAGACGTATGGAACAGCTTGATCGGAACCGTGTGATAAACCAATGCCTCATTTCTTTCCTTTGGTAGGCCGGTCAACCCGAGTAAATGGGAATGGGATCCGTCCTCACGGATAGTATGGTCGAGTGTGCGCTGTAGTAGAGTGGCTGTCTCTGCGCCGACAATGTCAACGGCGTAGCGCAGTTTACCCCCGGTGACTCCGCGTATGATATCTACGGCTCGTTCCGTATCTTGTCGGTCAACAAGGACATCTGCGCCGAGTTGATGAAGTCGAGACCCGTGGCGGGCAATGTCTGCTACACAGATGACGTGGAGGCCTGCAAGCTTGGCGAGTTGGAGGGTGATGTATCCGGTTGTAGTGGATGCTGTGATAGTCAGCGATATTCTGAGTAAGTAAGGGGGCAACTCACCACCCCAAATAGCAATCCAGTCACCCTTCTTGAGACGCTCCGACACCCCACTTGATGAAAAGCATTCCCCACGAATATCCGCCGGTATATCGTTGATATCAAGCTGAGCGACCGTATCCTGCAAATTCGGACCCGGGGATTGGGGACACTCCCTAAAGTCAAGACCGAGTGATACACCAAGGGCTAGGACAGAAGCGACAAAGGCAACACCGAGCGACGCAGAGGCGTGGACACAAGAGTTCGATGGTATACGTGCAGCGTTGAAGTGGGTAGCGACGGCGTACTCTTGAAAGGCTGCTTTCCGAATATCCCGATAGTCTGTCGATGGAACCAACACCTTATCACCCACACGAACCCGACTATTCTCATTGTTGACCCGAACCACTTCTCCGGCGAGATCCCGACCGTTGATCCATGGTAGACTGGGAAGGCCGAAGTTGAAGGCTCTGATGGTGTTAGCTGAGAAGTGTCGTTTCTGCGGGACACTTACGGGCCCTTCCAATCGACAGGGTTTAACCCAACTGCTTGAATCTGTTGATGTTAGTCAAGCCACGTGAAGCCACGATAGGAGATTCAGTACCTTAACTAAGATCTCGTCCTTGTGAAAGATCTCCGGGATGGCATGATCAGTCACCAGGGTATATTGTTCCCCCGCAGCATGTAGAAGCAGTGCACGTTGAGTCGTCTTAGGTGGTATGATCGAATCAGTGGGTGCCGATTGGGCAGTATAAGTAGGGTCTTTTCGCTGCTCCAAGACGATTTCCCGGTGGTACACCGTAGTGTACTTTTCCTCAACCGACGCCGGCAGGGTATAAGTTGAAATCGTCGTCATTATTGCAGTTCAGTGATACTGTTCAGTTTGCTTCAAACAGCT